AACAAATGTGGCAAGTTTGTGTTCTTGGAGAGGTCATGTGTTAAAGGACACTTTGAAGAAATGGGAAGCTATGCTCCATGCTCTATTCTGTGTGTTATTTATGGATGCTCAGTTTTGATCACAACCATGAGGCTATGTTCTTTCTTCTTTTTAAAATTTTCATTGAATTATAGCTTTATGTCAATGTTCTTATCTACTCTGGGCTCTTGCTCAGCTCAGAGCAAGATATAAAATAAAATAAGTGGATAACACACTGTGGTTTTCAGCAAAATTCTCTTTCTGAATAATTTATATCTTGAAATTTGAATTGAGTTTAATTTAAAAATAAATATCAACAGCAGGAATCAATTAACTGACTCAAGACAATTTTAGTCTATAATACATATGTTTTAGGGTTCCTTTTGCAGTTTGCATCTCTAGGGTAAAACAGTGAGAGTGCGAGGGAAAAAAACATGCTTAATAATTGCACAAACCTGGGGAGTGCCCTTAGCTTGGGCTTTGATGCTCATTTCTCTCATCTACACACTGGGGATTTAACACGTTATTTGTGAAGGTTAGTGCCTTTAAAGAATTGAGTCTGGTGGGCTGGAGAGACGGCTCAGTGGTTAAGAGCACTGACTGGTCTTGCAGAAGACCTGATTAAAATCTCAGCACACAGATGGCTGCTAACAACCATCCGTAACTCCAGTTCCAGGGTATCCAACACCCTCTTTCGATCTCCACGGGCATTGTATGATGAAGGTGCACTTACATGCATGCAGGCAATACACTCATACACAGAAAATAAAAATAATAAAAATTTTTTAAAAAAGAATTGAGTCTGGTGACTGCCACAGATTAGGCTGTCTGGACATTACTACAGGTATCATTTTCTCAGTTTTATGGTAAAAGAATGGCCATGTGTTATATTAGCCTATAAAATGACCATTGCCAGCAGGATTAGTGAAAACAAAGTTTTAAAATACTATTATCATTTTAAAAACATGTTCAAAAATTGAATTCAGCACTACAATCTTTGACTCCTTCAAAATGCCTGGTTTTCACATTTTTCTTTATTTAATTAGTGCATGCTATAGTGTATTCAGTATTACATTGATTTTCATTTGCTAGGTTGCTTCATTAAATAGATGAATCAGACTTTATAATTAGAGGACATTATATTCACGATAACACACAAGGCAGGATTGTGAAGCTCCATCCATGTATGTCTGTAGCTGTAGAGGTCAGTACTCCTTAAGTGTAACAAACTAAGGACAAGATCATGTGTACATTGTTTGTAAGCCTACATTTAATTACTTATTCATACATTCTGTGACAAAGAGTCACTATAAGTAAATATTTATTGAAATTGTAATTCTCTGGAGCAAAATACTGATCAGTATATAGTTTGTGAAGCGATAAATTGTCATGATGGTAGCTCCTGATACTAGAATCAATCCCATTTCGATTCTCATTAAGTCTTTGAATATGCGGTCTTTATAAGAAGTATACTGTGCTAGGATCCACAAAAGAGGGAGAGCATGCATCATTTGTTTTTCTGAGTCTGTGTTACTTCACTTAGTATAACAGTTTCTAGATCCACCAAATCCTTATAACTGAGTGCATATCCTGATGCAACTGCAGCGACCAGGAATATGGAAGAAAACCTGTGAGGTAAAGGGAAAAAAGGAACTTCAAGAGAGAATAGTGGGAGAAAGGTGTTACTAAGGGAGAAATATGAACAAAGGGGGTAGTTAAAGGGAAAGGGGGGAAGAGGGATGTACAAAGAACTATGGGAATAAAGGAGAAATAAAAATTCTCCTGATACACAGTAAAGAAAAAAAAAAAAAAAAGAATCGGACTGGGATGAAAGAAAGCCCTTTCAGAAGCAATACAATTGTTTAATGAAAATCCCAGTGCCAGAGCTGGGTTGACTTCCAGAAGTGGGCGGAAAAACCCTATTGTTGTAGACACTGCATGATGTGAGTGTGGGAGAGGGAGAAATCAAGATTGGACTAAGCTAGAAACTCCCTGCAACTGGATAGGTGGCTTTCATGGTGCCAGAAGGAAATATGCAGCTGGCCGGGGGTCGGGGGGTTCCTCTATAATTCTGCTCAACGATGGACCTTTTGTGCTGCACTATTAACATACCAAACAAGATGTTCCTGCTGGTGCAAGTAGTGGTGCATCTAGTGTATGTACAACCAGCAAATTTTCGATTGGCTATAATGCCCACTCCTAGGGGTGGAACACACATCTGGTGCTGTAGACCAGGCCAACCCCCCCCCCCCACCATGGCAGGGGAGGATACAGGCCCCAGTGGGGAAGCCACTACAATTGTTTCGTTAGATGGATGTGATGCACCTGCTAAAGTGCTGTCCAAGCTTTTGTTATTACACCCATAGGTTATTATAGCAACCACTGTTTAGATGTTCTTGCTTCTTGCTGTTTGTGTTTTTACAATAGATGGAATCCCACTGAAGTGGGCCAACAGCCCAGATGATGCAGAGACCTAAAAGTTCAGTGCCTTACCACAGTGGGAGGAAGATCATCCCACACCTACCACCCCCTCCAAGGCTCAGGGACTTTTGCGAAAGAGGTTAGCGGAAAGAATGTAAGAACTAGAGGAAGGGGTGGAGTGTCACCTGGAGGTATCCTCTGACTACTATGCTGGCAAGCTATAGTCACACCTCCTTCCTGTGCTTGTCAAGGAGTCGAGGAAGGACTCCCACCCAATCAGTAGACCTTAGCTGCATGTGAGGGAGGGGCTAACATTATTTAAGCTGAGAATGCTATAAGTCACCTCTCTCACCATTTTATGCAGCTGTCTGGAAGTCACAGGAGCTATATTTGAGTGTGGATGTCCCAGTGCAGTTGTAAAATGGGGCGGCATAAACTCTTCTGTAAATAAACCTTCATCCTATGTTCTGTTAGCAAGCTTAAGAAATTAGGATTTTTTTTAAAGAAAAGAAGTACACTGTGAAATTTGGTGGCAATTCCACTTAACAGTTGAAACTCTCAGTCAATCTCATTAATTACAACATGCAGTCATTAATGAACAAAATCATGTTCTCTGTACCCCTGTAAAGGTAGACACCAATTCTTCTCTAGTTACTGCAACATAGAACTGCCGCCACAATTAGAATCTAAATGTGCTATGCATGGACTGTATCTCAGGCATGCTGAGTGACACATTGACCAGCACACAGACTAGTCCAAATACTTGTTTATTTTTGAATATAGATAGAAGCCAGTAAATCCTAAGAATATTGACAATATAGTTTCTAATATTCATTTTTAGACAAGTATTACATCACTGATTCAGGTATTGACTTGCTTAGTGGATTAAATGTATGGTTGAGCACCAGGGAATTTGAAGATCTGAAATAATCAAATTTGTCTTTTTTCTGTCTGGTTTATCTCATGCAGTGAATCTTCAGTATTGGAGAGTTTTCCATGTTGTGATTAGCTCATTATCTTGGGGTCATTTGTTGTGTACCTCACTGAGGTGGTCAGATCATTTAATGTATCAGGATTTCACCTTTTGTAATGACTGAATAGAATTCTATCAGATATGTCACATGCTACTAGTGCATTTGTCTCTTGCAGGGAGCCTAATTTGTTTAAAACTTTTGACTGTAATGAATTATGCTTAAATGTATATGCTTTGAATATTCTGGATCTGTAACTATTGGAATTATAGAGTTTTAGCTTCTTCTGTGTTTAGTGTTTTTAGGATTGTTGTTTGAAATTATTATATAAAATTACTAGAATAAGCAACTTCATAGAATGAGAATGTAAATTACAGGATACCAGGGTGGTGGGAATAGGTGTTATTTCATGCTAGTAATGACATTTCTATTTGGGGTGATAAACTTTTAGAAACAGATAATAGTTGTGGTTGTACAAAATTGTGAGTGTAAGTAACATTACTGAACTGTATGCTTAAAATAGTATAATGAAAATGTTATTGTATGTATGTTTAATATAATAAAAAATTAATAATATATACCAAAAACCATTGAACTGTACACTTTAAGTAAGTGATGTAGGCTTATGCAAATTTTATCTGATTCAGGCTATTTTCCCAAAGAAGTTACAAGTATGCAGAGAATGTTTAAGATCCCAAACTTATTTTATATTGATTACTCAGTAGATGGACAAAGTTATATGTACTGAAATATGGAGATCTATACTTGCACCAAGAGCTCTGTGTTAGATACCCTAAGGACACATAAGTGGTGGGGGGTCGGGGAGACAAAAATCTTGCAAGTTCATGGAATTTCAGTCTATGTCATGAAACCTGGAATACTTTCTATGAAATAACTGGAAAATTTAGAAGTAAAAATAAAACTACATGCATATTTATAATACAGAGATACATATGTATTCTCATATATACATATACATATATATATCATATAACATTTCAACATATTTACATATCTACATTCTCCACCTTCTGTTTTATTTGCCTACATTTCATTTCTAATTTATGGTATTTTGTATTTAAGAATGTTGTTATGGTTATATTACCACCTGAACTCTCAATGCCCCAATTCCCATACAAATGTTAGGGTGGTTTAATAAGTGATAAATTGAGAAATGGGATTGACATACTAGTTCCTGTGTTAAAAATACATACTTTATTGTATTTGACAGTAGATTCAAGAAAAGAAGAAATCATTGCCTTCAGTTGTGTACCTACTCATGACCCTACCAGACTCCAATGGCTAGTTCCAATTCAGTGGTCACACAGATGGCCCTGGTTAAACTAAATGGGTCCCCAAACAAAATGAAATGTCATGAATCTGAGAAAACAAGTGGCGGGGATGAAGGAGGGTTGATAGAGATGGGAGGGAGACAAGGAAGAGGGAGAGAGCAATCAGAATGCATTATAGGCATGTATGAAACTGCCAGAGAATGAAATTAATCAATAAAAAGATTGGAACAAAATAATACTTTTTTTGTATCAAACTATTTGTTCAATGATTCTCTTTATTATTTTTCACATCTTTCAGCTGCTCCAGTTGATGTACTCAAAGCACTAGATTTTCACAATTCTCCAGAGGGTATATCAAAAACAACAGGATTTTGCACAAACAGAAAGAATTCTAAGGGTTCAGATACTGCTTATAGAGTTTCAAAGCAAGCGCAAATCAGTGCCCCAACGAAGCAGTTATTTCCAGGTATGTTCACTTTGACATTACTGTTGCTACTACTACTATTGTTGTTATCAGTACTATATTATTTGTTTGGTTACTAGTCTTTTATAGTACTATGTACCACACAGTTATAGTATGAAATATAATTTTTCGTATCATCAGGAAATACATTGTAAACACCAATGATGTATGAGAGTGACTATTTGCCAAAACTAATTCAGCACAGTCACAGAAATATGTTTTTAAATATTTAATAATTCATTTTCCAACATGACAAAATGGCAAGACAGTATTTAATGATTATCATTTTCATGTACTCATATAGAGCTCATTAGTGAATGGAGATTGGAGGAAACTTTTACCATTATTAGTTGATTTGGTTAAATTAAGCATCATGTGGGTTAGGCATATTTAGTGCATATTTCACTAACATTGATGTGAATGTTTCCTTTGAAAAAAAATCTCTATGTTAGACCTTAATTCTGAAATTTGTATATTATCCTTATATGAAGTTTAATAAAGCTAGTCATTTCTCATAATTACCTGATTTCTTGGACTAGAGAATTTGTTAGATTTTTACCTGATAGGCTCTCATATGGTACTAATAAGAGACTTTGCAAATGTTTTATTTTCTCTATGAAAGCTCTGATTGATCTAATGACCATTAATAATGTTGAAATTATGATAAATGTAGGAAAAGGGAATTGAGTGAAGAAAGGAAAATTCCTGGCATCACATTTCCTAAGCAGGCAGCTCATTACAAATACTTGTGGTTGATACTGAGCCAATTCATCAGCCTTGAATTTGGGTGTCCTTATCTCTATTTAACAGAGAAGTAAACTGAGGTTCAAAGACGTTTCTATAACTAAACCATGTTATATTTAACATAGACCTTGTGAGGCCATAGGTCAATGTTTCATATATTATCAGGTGTCCTTTTTTGATGCTCTAGGATCTTCACAAGTTAACATTTAAATTCGCCATAGTGTCCTACTCCTTCACTACCTAAAAGTTTTGTTTCTGTTTTCAAAGGAAGGGTTTTTTTTTTTTAAGCAAAAGAAAAATATAATAAAAGTTAAAATATTATAAACAAAATATTCTTGTATGGAAAGTTATATTTCTTTTACTTTTTAAATGTAAAAAAATAATTGCAGAGATGTAATGGTGGCCTCACTTGGATTCAGTCTAGCCTGGAACTCACTGGATAGTCCAGGCTAGTCTTAAACTAGTGATAGTTCTGCCTTGCAACCTCCTAAGTGCTGGGATTACTTGTGTACCCTACTGTACCATGTTCTAAAGTATTTTGAAAATACACTTATTTATTAAATATTCAGTATTTTCTGCTTTGCTCTAAGTTTTGATGAACAACAGCAATATATCACGTGCATAAATAATGAATGCACATTTTTCTGAGTTTAGGAATTAAAGGAGCTGGGCATGGTGGTACATGCCTTTAACCCCAGCACTTGGGAGGCAGAGGCAGGTGGATCTTTGTGAGTTCAAGGCCAGCCTGGTCTACATAGTGAATTCCAGGACAGCTGGGACTAAAGGGAGACCCTGTCTCAAAAAAAAAAAAAAAAAAAAAAAAAAAAAAATTAAAGGCTAAATGTTCTTAAAATATTAAGTCTATATCATATTATAGATTCAATTTAATATTTTAAATAACAAAAATATTTGCTTTTTAAACTGAAACATCTTAAATATATAATAGGAAAAATGATGAGGTTTTTGAAAAGATAGAGACAAAAATAATGGACTAATAGAAATGTTCTAGAAGATCTGGAGAAGTTAGTTTAGAATTTTTTATTCTTGGCTCATTATCTCAGGGTCACTGCAGTTAACTCAATTAACTTGGTGTTTTATCTTTTTTTTTTTATTCATGGAGAATGAACACAATGTTTGCCTGTGGAATCTTCTTCCACTCCAGTCAGCAGAATGTATCAAGATGAATGTTTTACCCCGTTTATGTTCAGGCCTATGACTCTAGCCATGAGTATTTCAGATAAGAGCCTTCTATGGTAAATACCTGATAAACTTAGGGTCAGAATTCATATGATTCTCAACATGCTAAGGCACTCACTTTAAGGAAAAGTTTATTTGCTTTGGGTTTTCTTCTATAATAGACAGGGTTACCTAAATATATATTTACAATACGTATAGCAAGCATAAAGAATGATTATTTCTCTCCCAATTATTTTCATGAGCATAAAGCTAAAAATTCTGTCTCATAAACAAAATTGAAATATAAAATTGTAGTTTAGAGGTAAAGGGATTGTCTAGTATGCATTTTGTCTTGGGTTCAAGCATAACATTTTTTTTTTTTTTTTTGTCTTTTTGAGGCAGGGTCTCCCTGCAGCCCCAGTTGGCCTGGAACTTGCTGTGTTAGCCAGGCTGGCCTCAAACTCACCTTGATAGAGATCCACCTGCCTCTACCTCCCCAGTGCTGGGGTTAAAGGCGTGTGCCACCATGCCTGGCTTCAAGCATAACATTTCCTAGCTTGACCTTTCCATTCATTTACTGAGCACAAATGTATAATACATTCCAACTAAGTCAAAATTATGAATTAATAGGTAAGTAGAGAAATTTGGTGGTACTGCTGAGGATTTTAAAACCAACACTTTTTAATTGAGTTTTTAAAATTTCATACATTTCCCACTCAAATCCGGACCCCCCTCCCCATCCATGCCTTCCCCTATCCCCCCACAGAACCCTATGCACTCTTCCATACATGCTGAATTCTATTCATTCAGGTGTTTTTGTACCCAAATGTCCTTTAGTGTAAATGCATCCACTGAACTGTAGACAGTCTATCCAGTGGGCGTATGTAGGTAGCAGCATCTCCTTCACCTAGCAGCAATCAGACTCAAATAGTTCTCAATCTGGTGCTGCCCCACTACCTATTTCTCACCTTCCCTTTGGACCTGTGTTTAATTGAGCAGCCATGGGTCCCATGCTTGATGTCACCACTGCTACAGGCTTACATGAGCAAGACTCCAGTGGCCTGGAAGCTTCCACTTCCCTGTGTTCATGAACCAGTCCAGGCTCTTATAATCTTCTGCCTCCTCTTCCACAGTGGTCTCTGAGTTGTTGGTGGGTGAGGTTCCATATAGGAGTCCCATCCTACACTCTAAAGTCTCTCTTAGTAATTAGAGAAATGCAGATAAAGACTACCTTAAGATTTCATCTTACCCCAATCAGATTGGCAAAGATCAAGAGAACTAAAGACTCCAAATGCCAGAGAGGATGTGGAGAAAGAGGAATGCTCATTCACTGCTAGTGGGAATGCAAACAAAAACTTTTTAGTGTGGAGTTTAATAGCAATTTAAAAATATTTATAATTGACCCAGCTAGTCAACATTAATTTACTCCTTTTGGGTAAATGTTATTTAATTTCCAAAACAGCTCTATGGGAAAGTAGCATCATTAGCTCAGTTAAAAATGGAAAGGTCAACTAAGAGATGTTATGCTTAGTATGTAATGTACCACTCGTAGAGAGAACCTTAGTTTGGGTCCTAGTGCCCCTGTCAGACAGCTCACAATTGCCTGTAACTCTAGCTCCAAGGAATCTGACACTCTCTTCTGGCCTATATGCGCACCTACACTCATCTACTCAAACCCATACACACACACACACACACACACACAAGCACACACACACACACACAAACAAACAAAAATAACAAAAATTAAAATTAAAACAATGTGTTTGGTATGTCTTTCAAACTGGCACCATGATTGTGTTTCCTAACTATGAATTACTTTCAAATAACCACTGTTTTCTAAATTACTGGTTTCGAGCCTGACTCTAACTTGGATTAATACACAAGGAAAGCTTAAAAGGGTAATACTGTCCCCTCTACAACCACCATATTATATTGGTTTAACTGTTTACTCTTTGAATTCAGGTATTAAGGCCATATAAAAAAAGTGGTCTAGAAACAAAAATCTGAAATTTCTAACTCGTTTTTCTTCTTGTAGGTGGGACTTTTCCAGAAGATTTTTCAATATTATTTACAGTAAAACCCAAAAAAGGAATTCAGTCTTTCCTTTTATCTATATATAATGAGCACGGTATTCAGCAAGTTGGTGTTGAGGTTGGGAGATCACCTGTTTTTCTATTCGAAGACCACACTGGTAAACCTGCCCCAGAAGAGTACCCCATCTTCAGAACAGTTAACATCGCCGATGGGAAGTAAGTCATACAGTGATTAAATGTGTTAGCTGTGCCAAAAATAATTTTCGTTCATTATTCAATAATCTCTGTGAAGTGTCATGTAATTTTTCTAGTGGTTGGTGATAAGAAACAAACAACAAAAAAGAATAAAATAGTGAAATCTCCAAACTTGGTGCAGTCTACTTTGTAGTCTGAGCAGGCAAATACTGAAAAAGAAATAGGAACAAGCAGCATAACTGGTAAGAATGAGAGAGAAAAACAAGGAGAAGGGAGTGCCGGGGCAATCAATGCTAAGAAATGATGTCAGGATGACCTCATTCAAAACATGCTACAAGACTGTGAGACGGCTCAGGGGGTAAAGGCACTTTCTGCCAAGTCTCTTGACTTGAGTTCCATCTTTGGAACCCCACATGGTGGAAAGAGAGAAATAACACCTACAAGTTGCTTTCTGGCTTCAACAAGTACACCATAGCACGCACACATCATCCCCACAGCACAAAATTCAAAACAAGTAAGTGGTATGTTGGGGACACAGAGGGTTGAAGGGCACACTGGGCTGAGAACTGCACTATTCTAGGAGGAACCACAGCAAAGGCAAGAGCTCTTGAAGCAAACATCACTTAAAGCATCAAGACAGGAGCAGAGGCCCGGAGGATGGTAATCAGCAGGAGGCCAGAGGGCAGGGCGCATTAGTGGAGGCTGGACTCACTTGGAGTTCTAGTCTTGTTGAGATGAGAAGTCAACCTTTGAAAGCAGAGAAATGCTTTTTAACAATACCACTTCTTATAAGTAATATAGGAAGCCTTATATAACATTATGCTCCATACTGTTTGTTACTTGATATATAGGTAACTCATTTAATTTTTCATGATTAAGAACATAATGTTAATAAAAATTTATGGATTTGGGAACCAAGTCCCAGAAACTTATTATTATTTTTTTTAATATTTAAAGACTTCTAAATAAATATCTATTTACATTTAACTTTTTGTTGTTGTTGTTGGTTGTTTTTCAACAGGGTCTCTCCAGTCATAGCTGAACTGGAAGTCACAATGTGAACCAGAGTAGCCTCGATCTCATAGAGATCCACCTGCCTCTGCCTCCCACCGGCTGGGATTAAACAAGCATGCCACCATGCCAGCACATTTAACTTTTGTATACATACAAACCTGTCCTTATTATGTAGGCATTACTATCTTTTGGAAATACAGTTCTTAACTTGGAAGACTGAACCTGACTAGATAGATCTTTTACAGTAGCATACAACACATGATCTTTTAATTATAGATTGCATATGCAAAAATATCAAGCAGAGAATGAAAAGAGTACATTGAAAAATATTTTTATTGTAAATTTTGTATCGAATTTCTGTGTATTTCATGCAGAACATCTTAATTATCTTTATACCCCCTTCCACAGTGATATACTCCTGTAGCACCCCTGCTGGGATTCATGCATTTTGTTGTTTGTGTTAAGGCCCATCATGTCAAGTTAGTGTCCCCAGGTGTACCTCAGTGCAAGCTCATCCACTGAGGTCTAGTTGACCTCTAGAGTTCCTCCCCTTTAAGAAGATCATTTTTCTTTACCCAGCAATAATTAGCTGCCAGTAATTCTTCGATTAAAATTGGGGCATATTGCCCATTTCCATAGTATCATTTTTATTTTATGTATATGAGTATACTGCCTGAATGTATGTCATGTTGTGCAGTGCCAGTAGAGATCAGAAGAGGGCATTGGATCTCCTGAAACTGGAGTTACAGACAGTTGTTAGCCACCATGTGGGTGTTGGGAACCAGACCTGGGTTCTCTGCAAGAGCAGACAGTGCTCTTAACTGCTGAGCCATCTCTCCAGCCCAATGTAGTATATTTTTAATAAATACTGACACCTGTCATTCGTTTGTATGATATGTTTCTTTTTAAATCTTTTTATTGATTTAAGGATTTCATACAATGCATTTTGATCATGTTCAGAGCCCCCTTCCTCTTCACCCCTACCTTGCTTCTCCCCAACTTTATGTCCTCTATTATTATTTTTTTCTTTTCTATCTTAAAGACCTATTGAGTCTAGTCTGTGTTTCCCAAGTGCTCTTGGGTATGGGAGACCCAGAAAGTGTAAGGACGGGTTTAAGGTCACAGAGTGAAAGAGGCATTTGAACCTCGGCTCATGATGTATTCTGCTCAGTCTTCCTGTATTCTGAATCATGACTCTTGTGTTAGTTTCTTTTTGAACACTAGAGTAGAATTTTATTTATAGAAGATAGTTTGAACACATAGAAACATTTTTGTTTTATGCTAACTGGAAATACACTTTACTGTAGCACCTATTCTATTTGAAAATAATAGCTTTATGTCTGAATACAATATTAAAATAAAATGTGGGAAATGTTATAAATATTTTTGAGTGATTATCAACTAGACAAGTTATATGTACATACCCCACAGTGGGAAAGCAGCATTTGGTACTCTGTCGACTATGACTGATGCATAGGCTTTTCATTCATTCATTTTTCATCCATCTATCTATTAACAATTGGTTAAATGCTTGCAGCATGCCACTGCTACAGTATTCACTTGAGATTACAAAAGAACAACAGGATTGTTGAGATCAAAAGACATAATAGCAATTTGCCTGAAAAAATGATTGGTATTCAAATACGCTTTGATTTGCTGAGACTCATCCAGGCTTTCATCATGACTGACCCTCATTGCATAAGTATTTATCCACTGTCTACAACTTGGAGGCAGTAATCAGGGCATATGCACTGCAGCAATGAACAGCCCAGGCAAAGTCTCTCCACTCCTTGAGGTTAAATTCTACTAGAAACACCAACGTAACACAAGCAAGCAGAAAGAGTATGCAAATGGTTTCAGCTTTCTGAATGAAACTACATCAAAGCAGGGGGTGCACTGTGTGCCATTTTAGACTTGCAATCCTTTGTAATGAGATTGTATTGAGGAACGTGTAGGAAGTGAGTGGTTGTGTAGGAATGTGGAGGAAGAGCATTCCTGCAGATTGAACATTTGCCAGGAACAGTAAGGAGGCAAGCATGCGGTGTGGTACAGGAAGTCGGAAAGCAACACTTCAGACCTGATGTCTGACAGGGGCCAGGAGACCTCTAGGACACAGAAAAGGATGTGAGCCATTATGTAATTACCGGCTGGGTCTCACTAACACAAAGATTTGATTTGATTCATTTATTTTAATTTTGTGTGTGTGCGTGGGTCTTTGTGCATGTTAGTGTGTAGGGTCTGGTGTCATTTCTCAGGAACTATCTACTTGTTTTTTGACATTACCTCTCACTGGTCTGGGAAACACTTGTCTCCACACTACATGTCATGTAGTTCACACAGTGCTGGGAATCAAAGCAGCATCTTCCTGATTGTGCATCAAGCACTGCACTTTATGGACTCAGCCTCTTCCCTCATGTTGTAAATGGTTGCTGTGGTCACAAAAGCACAGAAACAGACCAGTTAGTGGGTTATATGGGAGAGGATAGGGCATCAACAAATTTCAGAGACAATGGATTTTGTTTCAGCATAAAAGCTGATGGGGTTTTATTGATGGTATAGATACATTATGGGAGAAAAAGAATAATTAAGGACTCAAAACTAAGTTAATTCAGCATTATTTTAATTTATTATTTTGAATGATATACCTGCTTCTGTGACTTTGACATCTCAGTATTAGCAGAGCTTCAGTTTATTCAATGAAGCAGTCAAGTTTAGGATTCTAATCAGATTTAACAACTGAAATTATTTTTGTTTTCTGATAATGCAAGGGATATGCCTGAAAGACTAAGAATGGTTTAAGTTAGCAAACTGCCTTCTTGGCTTCAAGTATACATAAATTTTACTCTCTGTGTATTAAGTGATTCCAAGACCCCTTATATAAATCTTTGCTCAGTTCAAATCATGCAGACACTTCTGCTAGTTGAATGTGCTAGTGGAGAAATGAAAGATTAAGTGTATATGGAAATATACTTGGTCCTCACCAATAGACATGCCAAGTATCATGAAACAGACATTTTGAGAAGGCTTGTGCAGTTTTCTGGGTATTTTATTTTATGGATCTAGTCTTAGAAACTCTGGAATATTAATTTAGCACTTTTCATTTGGAAAAAATATAAACCACAGTGGTTTACAGAATCCGAGTGAGCTTCACTTCGTGGTTTCTGTTAGCACCAGATTTTGTTAATAAAAGTCTCTGTAGGATACAGCGAGAGTTTGCATGCTTCCAAGGGCTGGCCACGTTCTCCCCTCTATGCCTGTCATCACTGCCCTGAATTAGCTGTGGCGGTAGCTGCACAGTGAATTCAGCCTCCCACCCCACACATGAGCTGACTCTGCTTTCTTTCAGTGTTTCCTCTTCTTGCCAGTGTTGGAAAGAAGGAAAGATATTGTGTCTCAGTCTTAGATCCTGCCCACAGTGGTGATCCATAACTGTCTTGAAACTAAAGTAGAAAAAGAACATGAAAACACTTGAAATAAGTGGCGATCAAGACAGAGTAGCACATTGTGTTTTACAATTAGAATGTTCAGTTGCTCCAGATGGAACAGCCATTCAATTAGGAGACATACCCTTTTATAGTCACTCTCAGGGGATCACCAAAGCAGAATTGTTGTTTTCAAGTGGAATTCCACTTTGGAAGAAAGCATTTACGAACAAAGAAACTATTATTTACCCCTTATCCCATCCTAATCTCTGTCAAATGTGCTCATCAGAATGCAGTGAGTTTAAGCTTTTGTTCCTGCAACACAAAGTGAAGAGAGGATGAAAACTTCCTTATCGGCATGGACAACTCATCTTTGCATCTCCTGCGCTTTTGCCCTTCTGAGTGCCTAGCATTGTGCTGGTTAGCCCCTACGTAGTCTCCGTCCAAACCACAGTATGCCTATATTTTTGTACCATTTCAGGTCACTTTTGTAATTTAGGATATGCATTCTAATATGACTATAGATTTAGTTGCCACTATCTTTAAAGCTTATAATAGAATTGCTTGGCTTTTTCAGGTGGCATCGGGTAGCAATCAGTGTGGAGAAGAAAACTGTGACAATGATCGTTGATTGTAAGAAGAAAACCACAAAACCACTGGGGAGAAGTGAGAGACCAATTGTTGACACCAATGGAATCACAGTGTTTGGAACAAGGATTTTGGAAGATGAGTTTTTTGAGGTAAAAATAAGTCAAATTTGTTTAAACTGAGTATTCTTAAATCAGATGAACTGGGCTAATAACTCTATAGTAATAATTAAATAATAATGTATTTACTGGGTTAATATGTTCTAAAACAAAGTTGGAAGCATTGAAGGTTGACCTACTTTCTTTCTCTGTGAGTGTAGCGGTGATGCTTTCTATTGTTGGGCAGGAGAAGGGTTACACAATGGGAACTGCAATGCCTTTGCAGAGATTGGTTCCTCTGAACACAAGCCTCCTGTTTTGGGGACAGTCGGCTTCACTCCTAGACTTCACTCTTAAAACATCTTTGAGAAAATAAAATTTTTCTTCACTTCCTTTACTAGGTTAAAGAGATGAACCAGCATATATTCTGCCTTGCTGTCTTCAATTATGAGTATTTTCAAAGTAGAAATCATATTGCAAAAGATGAACTTTATGTTTTTAAATATTTCTTTTGTAAGAAACAAAGTGAAGGTTATGGTAAGACCCTTTTTGTGATTATCTTTTACTTACTATCACAATAATACTTTCTTCCCATCCTTTTCTCATTGCATAATGACTTATGCTTTGTTTTTCAGTCATTTTGCAATAGTAAACGGATCTCCCTCCTGACTCCATAAAGGGCTGTGCTGAGGCACTGTTCACTACCTTCATGATTGTCTTAACATGCATACTGATTCATTTATTTTTGAGACTATAGCTAAGCAAAGCTGTATAACAAAATATAATTTGCTTTATTTTGTTCATGTGTGAATAAAAACATACACAGTTGTACATGTACACCATGTTCACATGTACAGATACTGTTATGATACTACATGTTTTATATGTATCTCCTGTGGTATAGTATTAGATACAAATAACACTCATGACAGCTTCAGGTTCTGTATCTGGGATACTATTTGTTGCTGGCTTTCCCTATTCCCTTCTGCCTAAACCTTTGACTCTACATAAAATGTTTCAATCCATTATAATTACTTAAATGATGAACTAATTCTGGCAATAGATAATGGCAACGAGCTCTTAAATTATCATTGCCATATACTGATTGTCTATATAGATATTTATTTATTAGATGAATAGACATTCATTATTACTATAACATCATCTTGCAAAGTCTTATTTCAAAGTATCTCATAAGTTTCATGGGATAATTTGATTTTATTTCCCATATGAACCTTATTTTCTAGGATCATAATTGAGAAATATCAAAGTGTTTTAGTGGATTTCTTTATTCTTTTATTTCTTCCCACCCTTCTTCCCTTCCCATCCCTCCTTCTCTTCCAAATATTAATTTTATAATACAACATTTAGTACTTTGCTCTTGCTGTGATAAAACACCACGACTAAGATAATTTATAGAAGGAAGAGTTTGTTGGGCTTACAGTTCAAAGGGGTAAGAATCCATCATGGCAAGGGAGGCCTGGCAGGAAGCAGCCAGAACAGAAGGCTGAGAGCTCACATCTTCAAGAAGACACAAGAAACAGAGAGAGGGACAGACTGGAAGTGAGATGAGGCAATGCATGCCCCCCGCCACTTGTTTCTTCGAGCATGTCCAACCTCTTAAAAGTTCCATGACCCTCCCCAAACTGCACCACCACTGACCAAGTGTTCAAATACTTGGAGTTTATGGGGAGCTTGCTCATTCAAGGTACCACACCATATGTAACACTTAAAATAAGGAGTTGCTTCAAATGTTAATTCAAGAAACTATCATAAAACAAAAATAATTTTGCAGAAATTCTTCAGTGAAACTTTAGTAAATATGACAGCAAGCTGAGAACAATACTTTACACATTTACTTTGTTTTTGACCCTTCATGGAAGCACAAGAACCCTTAAATAGAGCAGTAACTACTATGAACTATAGTTTGGAAAGTGTAATGAATGAAGAAATTTTTCTTACCAGATTTGGCTTTTAATATTTTTAACCATCAAAAATGGAAAGCATTTCTTTTTATAAAATAAAATGATGAGCAAAATTTAGAGTAAAACTAAAATATATTTGAATAAAAATTTGAATTTATCTCTCTCAAATATCCAGAGCCATCATTTGTAATATTTAGGTCATATGTACTACATGGTAAACTTGCGTGATTATATAAAACTTCAAGAAAAACTTTCTACATGATATGAAGCATGAAGAAATTGAATGATTCCAATACAGACTTTTAATGCTGTTTTGTGAAACTAGTTCATCCAGTCTGAATATATTGTCACTATTATATTTGTCACTAATTTTTTCTCAATTTTTTAAACTTTCATTTTGGTTTATAATGTGGAACTTATATAGAATTTCAAATCTCTTAAAAATATCCTACCAATGAATAGTAGTGCTGGATAAGTGGTTGTAATGGTGAAGATACTGTGATAACATCAGGGGTTCATCAGTCTGAAAGTACCACTTTGTTAGAAGTATCACAACTCAGATTGAATTGGAAATTTGTTTGGCATATATAATTTGATGTACACACTGTTCTTAACTACTGGAATAATAATATTAGGTTAAGAAACATAGTGCCTATAGCTATATTTGAATTGCAATCTGATGATTTGTAAGAATTCAACAGTAACAGAAAATGCAGAAGTGAAAAAGATTTAAATGTTTCACAAGAATTGTTTCTGTGAACACGTAACGTGGCATTATAATTCCAGTGATGTTGCTTCAGCACAACAGAGTGATTGTGAAGATTTATTCTGCAATTAGAATGATGTGTTTCTTAGTCCGAGAGCCTGGCTCTTGATGCATCTTTCTCTGTGCAGTCTCTTTATGGACATTTCAGTTCCTAGTTTTCATTTTTCTTTTTTTATTAGTGTATATTTCCCTTAATTAATTTGGGATGTTAAACTATTTTGCAACAAGACAATGGAAAATAAGTAATGACTAGTTCAGAGCTTGTTTGAATCTAATGATTTTTAAATCGTTTAAGTGCTTTTCCTTTGGTCTTTTTGAGACAGAGTCTCCTTGTAGCCCAACAGGTCTGTAATTCACTACGTAGACCAGGTTGGCCTCAGTCTCACAGAGATACAACTGCCTCTTCCTCATTTTTCAATTGAGATTTAAGAAAACAATACTTGAGCAGATGCAAGTAACCTGCTTGGTAAGAGTGTGAATTTATATACACATGTGCATATGTAATTTGTAAATAGATATGGTTATTAATTTACTCATCAGTTAATGTTTAGTATTCTCTGTTATTATGATTTCATGTCTTTGACTTTATGACATTTCAAAGATCTTTTAATACTTTTGATAGGAGTATCTAATAGTGACCCATCTCTTACTAAAAATTTCCAGTGGGTTCCTTTGTCGGTCATGCGAACAGAATTCTTCTTTTGTGGCCTACTGCTCACTTCTCAAGTGCTTTGTAGAGATTAAATTAATTTTCCCCTTTTAAGAGAATAGCACCTGAGTTCAGACCTTACTAAGAGGAATATGGTGTGGGTGGATGCATACTCCATGTAGGCACAAAGTGTTCAAACAACATGTATCAATAGGCTTAGTTTGTTCACTCTGATAATGTGTTTCAATGTTGTGAAGACTAAATTATTTTCAAGACATTATCAGAAAACAATGTATCACTATATCATAAGTTGGAGCCATGTTATGTTATGGCTTCATGTTATGTTTTCAAAGTACTGTTATTTTAATTTCACTTTTTTAAATTTTAACAATCAAAACTCATACTTTTAACATGCTCTGTCTTTGGGAAGAAGCAATGAGTTGGAATATGATAGCAATTTGAATAGAAAATGTTGAGGATAACAATTCTGCAAGACCTCAGATACTATTTTAAAAGATTTAATTTATTTTACTGTTTATTAGTGTGTGTGTGTGTGTGTGTGTGTGTGTGTGTGTGTGTGTGTGTACATACATATAGGTACAGGTGCCCACAGAGGCTAGAGGGGGTGTTGAATACACTGAAGCTGGTGTCATAGGTGTTTGTGAGCTATCTGACTTGGGTGTTGTTATCTCAACTGAAGTCCTCTGCAAGAGCAGTAAACAATCTTAACTACTCAGTCATCTCTCCAACCCCTCATAAAACATTTTAAATTCAACTTTCTCTGGAGAAATCAGTAAATAACATTGTATAAATGTTTTGGCAGTTTTGTACTCAATTTAAATAGTAAATGATAAAATTCCATGAAAACAGTAATTTCATCCCATTAAAATCTTAAAAAATCAAAAGTTCGTGGCTTTGTGTTGGCCTTATATGTATTCTTACTGAATATAATTTCCAAATATAGTTAAGAAATTGCATATAAGCAGATATAATTTTCCGATGGAGCTATGTAATAGAATGGAGGTAGTTTTTTGTTTTCTTTTGCTAGTTTAGGTGAATTTGAATTTGTGATCCTTGAGATTTTTTTCTCTCACTTTCCTAAGGTATGGCTGCTGTGTGACATTTTTCCTGAGGAGAGGAGAACAAATGTCCACTCATCCCAGTTAGGGAACTAATGATAGTCAAAGTAAAGATGCCACTAAAGTTCAGTTAGTAAATCAATGAGATTTTGGGGACGACTTACAGGAGTATGGGTCAGGGGTTACTTACAGAAGCAGAAATGACTCAAATACAGCTGCATCTTTAAAAGTCCACTCCAACATGGGTAACAGCTAACAAAAGGAGGGTTATTAACTTGAGCTTAGCACACAACTTGCAGGCAGCTCGGCAGGTTGGATAGTCTGCCTCTTCCCGGCAGCTCAGTTGGTCTGAGCCACTTGGGGGTGTCTTGTCTTGAGAGTGCCTTTTAGATGTCCTTACTGCTTATATAAGCTTGGGAACGAGGAGCTGACAGTCTGAGAGAATTCCTGATGCTGAGTTGTTTAAAAGGAGCTTCCTAAAGCAGGATGGAATGTTTCACCTCCTTTTAGACTATCCTGTGCTTTAAAGAGATTTCTTTTTCATCTTGGAAGAAATTTCTATACTATACTGGATGAATTATAGTAAATTTTGATCTATATACTTGTGAGTCTCATAATTGAGGAAATATATATTT